CCCAGAATTCCCGAGCTAACATGACTAGAGGAGAAATTCTGGGAGTTGAAGTCCACAGGTCTTAAAGCTGTCAAGTTTGAAGACCCCTGGACTAGCATGGGGGTCTTCAATGTCAGCCATTTTAAGACTTGCGAACTTCAACTCCCAGAATTCCTGAGCTAACATGACTGGAAGAGGAATTCTGGGAGTTGAAGTCCACAAGTCTTAAGCTGGACTAGGGCATGAGTGACTCTGAGCCACTAATGTTGGAAGATAAATAAAAAAAGACCAGCCAAGTAATGTGCATCCCTTTATTTTAGGGTTCACAGCAGGGGTCCCCCAACCCCCGGCATGCCATAAACGGGGCCGGACAAACAAATGAAACCCCATCTTTGGGATGCAGGCAGCACGCAAAACCCCATCCCTTCCGGTCCGTGGCAAAACGTGTATTCCCGGTACCGGTGCCCAAAAGGTTTCTGGGGGCCACTGGTTGACATCAGGAGTGTCCATCCTTGACCACTTGAAGACTTGTGGACTTCAACTCCCAGAATTCCCCAGAGAGCAGGGTTGGTGCCGACTTCCCACTTCTTTCCTTTTTGCTCACCTCTTCTTTTTCTGCATTGGTAATTTAGGTTACCCAACGACAGTAGGTAACATGGTTAAGGCACTATTCTATTCTATTCTATTCTATTCTATTCTATTCTATTCTATTCTATTCTATTCTATTCTATTCTATATTCCTATTCATATCCTATTCTATTCTCCTCTTCTATTCTATATTCCTATCCTATCCTATCATTCTTAATACTATTCTATTCTGTTTACTAAGTCTGAATTACTGTTACTATTAATCTTTTCATCACTCCTTATCGCCCATCTCCTCCCACTTGTGACTGTATGACTGTAACTTTGTCACTTGTATCCTTACGATTTATATTGGCTGTTTCCTAATATGATTCAATTGCTTATTGTACCCTATGACTATTATTAAGTGTTGTACCTGATGATTCTTGACTCTTGACAAATGTATCTTTTCTTTTATGTACACTGAGAGCATTTACACCAAGACAAATTCCTTGTGTGTCCAATCACACGTGGCCAATAAAGAATTCTATTCTATTCTTTTCTCTATTCTCTCCTGTAACCTATTCTTTTCTTTTCTATTCTATTCTATCCTATCCTTATTGTACCCTATGACTATTATAAATTGTTGTACATTATGTTTCTTGAAGAATGTATCTTTACTTTTACATACCCTGAGAACTTATGCACCAAGACAAATTCCTTGTGTGTCCAATCACACTTGGCCAATAAAGAATTCTATTCAATTCCTATTCCATTTCTATTTCTATTTCTATTCCTATTCTATTTCTATTTTTATTCTATTCTATCCTATTCCTTTTTTATTCTATTCTATTCTATTCTATTCTATTCTATTCTATTCTATTCTATTCCCTTTTCTATTCCTATTGTACCCTATGACTATTATTAAGTGTTGGACCTGATGATTCTTGACTCTTGACGAATGTCTCTTTTCTTTTTATGTACCCTGAGAGCATTTGCACCAAGACAAATTCCTTGTGTGTCCAATCACACTTGGCCAATATAGGATTCTATTCTATTCTAAAACATCCCTCATTATTCTGCTTGGAATGTTTCACAAACGGCTGTGTTTCTATTTTCTCTCGAGTTAAGTTCACAACCCAACCAGAAAGTTATTTCTTCTAATCAGGAGGGGATGAGTGAAATCGTCTCCATCTCCTCAAGATGAGACTTGCCCTCTCATTTCAAATCCCTGAAGTGCTGGTCTCTCCCTGTGCAAACAAACTCACAAATAAAACAACTCAATTTGTCAGCTGCACACGCACAAAAGCTTTTGCAAACCCCACAGGCAGCAACACAAATTGTGACACTGTAGTTGCAGCAGTTTACCAGGTAGGATTTCTCCAGGCTTTACACAGTACAGGAAGACCTCAACTTAAAACTACAACTGGGGCAAGAATTTCTGTTGCTAAGTGAGGCAATTGAGTCGCACCAGATTTTATGATTTATGCCATGGTTAAGGGAATTGTATGGCTGTTAAATGAATCTGGCATCTCCTGTTAACTTTGCTTCTCAGAGGCTGGTTGGAAAGGCCACAGATGGTGATCACATCATAAATAGGATGTTGCGGCCATCATAAATATATGAGAGTTGCCAAGTGTCCAAATTTTGATAATGTGAACATAAAGATGCTGCAACAATCATAAGGGTGAGTATGGTTAGAAGTCACCTTTTTCAGTGTTGTAAGTTGAGGATTACCTATTCCACAAAAATGAACCTTTTTGTACTACATACAACCCTACATACAATATCCTGATGCAATGGAGGAAATTATGGCATTTTATTCCCAAGAATTGATCCCATTCGTAGCTCACAATGTGCTCGACAAAAGCAGGAATATACTTAGTTCGAGCTAAGTTTTCTAAAGTTATTTTCAGAATTTCCTTCATGCCCAAGGTGATTGTGAAGAAAAATAAAATGTGACCACCTTTTTTAATTGGAACATTCAGAACAATTTATTGAAGTCAACCTCAAGCAAAGAGTTAATCAGTGGAATGTCATTTTAAAAACCTTTCCAAATTAATGTTCACAGAAGCAAACACACATCTGAATTCCAAAGTATTTGTAAAATAAAAAAGGCAACATCTCAGTAAATATAATGTACAAAAATTATATGTTCCTACCACACTCACATTCAGTAAGAAGCTAAAATATTACAGGCAATTCTAGATACACTTTGACTAGTAAACAATGAACTATCTATCTATGTACAAGTTAACCAAGCTTTATAGATGTCCACACTATGCAAGAGAACATAGGCTAAACAACAAAAAACCTCCAAAATGTTGTTATGTCTCAAAATCTATGCAGCAACATCAAGTCATAATACAGTAATAATCCCCACGGATCACCCCCAGGGAAACTTAACACTACTCCTTAGTGTTGAAATCTTCTATCCGGGTTTGAGAAACTCCTAAAGATATTGATTTTTTTTTTTTAAGTGAATATCAATGATTCTGCTATTAAAGACTCTGGTGATTTTTGTTAAAATAACATCTCACAGAATCTACAAAGTTTGGTACATAGTAACAAGATCTACAGAAATAACAATTCTACAAAGTCATTGTTACAGATAAAGAGTTACACAGGAATGGAGACAATCTGTTGGTATTGGTGTCTGTTGTGCAATATCACGTGTTGGGCGTACAAATGGATTTTGTCTTTTTTTTTTTTTAATCTTCTCTAGCAAACTCAGAATAATAAGCACATACCCTTTATAAACAAATAAAGACACATTCTGGTTGCTAGCCCATCATAATAGCTATTTCACCAACTTGGTTTTCAATGGCAACACAAATTCATTACTCGGGGGAAGTAAAAAAACAAAACAGGGCAGTGAAGAAATGACATTGACCAGATAACAGATCAACATGAAAGAATCTAAAGCAGACACAAAACTTTTCTCCAGTTAGTTCTTAATGAGAACCTGGTGCTAACCTTGTGGACCAAGTGTTCAGGAGAACATGTAATCTAAACCAGAGATCTCCAAACTTGGCAACTTTTTGAGACTTGCAGACTTCCAACTCCCAGAATTCCCCCATCGGCATGGCTGGCTAGGGAATTCTGGGAAATGAAGTCCACAAATCTTTAAAAAGTTGTCCAGTTTGGAAGACCCTGATCTAAAGAGAAGCACAGCCCCATTCCTGTGTGCAGGGACTAGTATTATCCCTATAATGGGAAGCAGTGAACAAACAGCTTTGGCAAAACGGCAATTTAATGGTATAGGCAGAGTTGATGCTGGGCAGACACATCATTCCAAGATTTATGCATGACACCGCAGTTACAAAAAAACCCCGCTTCCTTCCCCCCTCCCATCCTCTCCAGGAAGGAGTGCCCCTTACCCAATTATATTTGTACCCAAGCTCGCCCCAGGCAGCTGAATACCAATTTGCTCAAGTCCACCTCCCAGAGTTCTCTTCTAGGAGCAATAGGATAAGTGCATTTTTTTTTGTCTGAAATCTCTGACGTGGAGTGGGCTCGTTTAGTGTTAGAAATACAAAAATACTGGAAAGTTCATAATGCTGCTCCTACCTCAGGCAACGGCGTTAAGAAGAAACAAGAAAAGGGAGTGGAGTTTACTTTCCAAGTATTTCCTATATGCCTTCAATTCATATTGTGCAAAAGAAGCGGGAATCAGACTCCAGGTGTTCAGGTGGGATGAGACTCATAATACAACAGGAAAATGAATAAATAAAAAAATACAAACTGTAAAATAAGCATGGAAAATAGTTTCAAGTACTTTAAACCCTGAATTCAATGAGGCAGAAGATAACAATGTTAAAGTGACTATATTCGTACCAGCGGTTGAAGCTCCCCACCTCCCAACCCTACCCATAACATCTCCATTATATTATATACAGTCAATGGGTTTTCAGATCATTGGCAATGATATTGTAATAATTACATCTTTCGAATGCCACTGGGGTTATGCAGAAGGGGCACCCAGCGCAAAGCCCAGAGATGCCACCCAGTCCCTTCATCTTCATTACAAGTTCCAGAGAACCGTTTCTCATGCGGCATTTCGAAGAGCACAGATATGCACTTAAGGACTGCTAACACACAATGTAGGAAGTACATGCCTGTGTTGTACGTCCTGGAGGAAAGGGGGGAAAAAAAGCACCATGACCACAAACAAAACACTTTTGCTTTAGACATACAAACTTGGGTCTTGGGGGAGGCTGCCCAGAACTTTTGAGATCAAACTACAGCAACTGGCTCATGATTTTACATGGTGAATCCTGAAATCATGCTGAGGTCTGGAAAGAAATGGGGTGGGTGGATGGGAAATATTGTCAAAAAAATACTGTGCAGGTAGCTGCTTGCAAAAGAAGACTAGAATATCCCTTCCTTTGTTTCTTATTTCATTCCTCAAAGCCCAAACTAGAAAAATGGCAGGTATGTTTCTTGATTTTTTTCCCCATTTCTTGGAAGAATCACAACCCTTGGAGTGTTTGATGAAGCAATTCTAAAAGTCTAAAAATATGCAGACATTCCTATCCCACCTGTGTATCCCCAGAATTCACGAGACACCTGCTTGAAATCTAAGTGTCAAAGCTTTGTTCTTTAAACTATTTACCCAGCCAGATGTTTTCATGGCTGCTTTTTCATTTGCTTGCAGATAAAAACATCCTTCCTCGAGGCACAGATTTAAACCAAGGCTGCAATGCAAAAAGCATTCCAGAGTCTTGAGTCAGAGAGTTATAACAATACAGCCAAAAGATTTCTGCATTCTACAGGATGCAATTTCGAAGCTCGAAGCGTCTCCACAATTGCAAGAACGCAAAAACTGCGGGTCTTCTGGCGGAGCAAGCCAACTTTCCACTCCTGATTAAAGTGCGTGTAAAAATGTAACAGGTTTTTCTACGGGGATCCCCTATCGTGGCTCGCGGCATACGAACAACAATGCTAGGTGTCTGCCCATTCAGAAATTACATTTCATTGAATTCACAGCACGAGACTATGCGTGTCCATTGTCCACTCTCGGCAAGTAGTACTGCTGTGTTCAATTGGTTTGTCCCATGGATGTGTGCAAAGCAAGACACGTATCTCAGGGAAACTTAAAATTTATTCTAAGTGCATACAAGATAATCAGCAGTGGTTACCCATTCGTATGAGCTGCTTGAAAAGAAGAACCCTTCATATCTGATCCTTATGCATTAATTAGGAAAAGGTGGGGCACATTTTCTAAAAGTCCAAGCACACAGCATAGGATGGGAAGGGGAAGAAGTACCTGATTGCAGGGATCTATATTCAGAGAAGAAAGTCAGCCTTCTCTGACTTTCTTTCTTCTTCCCAACTTCCATTTCTCATGGCAATACTTCAAGCCCATTTTTGCAGAGGAAAAGAGATCAAATTCTATGTTTACAATTTTATAGAACAGAAGCAAAGTTCTACGTTTTTTCACAGAATATTTTTTTTTCTGTGTTCTGAGTAATTAGAATCTGGGAGAAGGGAGAGAGAGAAGCCAGGAACCTTTAATATTTCCGTTGCTCACAAAAAAAAAAAATTCACTATATTCATAATCAATATTTCTGTTTCTTAAGGATGTTATATTGCTTATGGTAGGACCTCATTCTCAAAGAAAACCTTCCCGTTCTACTTAAAAAAAAACCAAAAAAACAAATCAAACCAGAGCTAAGGACTCAATCTGGAACAATGAATAAACATTTAAGATGTAGGTAGTGAATGAGGCAGCGAAAGTTTGGGACATCTTAATGAAGAAACTTTACGGGATTCAAAAGGTTTATGCTAACAAAAAATATCATCCAAATAAAATGCTTTCTTCACTTTTGCATCCATTAGTGGAGAAAATTGGAAACAATAATTTAAATTGACGTGATAGTGGAGTGTCCCATTCTTCAGAGAACTAATTCATGGGTGGCCTAAGTAAGATTGCTCTGAATACTGACCAAGGATCCTTCTATTTCTCAACAATTTTGGCTACTTTTCTTTGCACAATTGCACTTGAGGTGACATACAAGTTGTAATCATGATGCTGGATCCACCACTATTAAGGACAAAAAGTTCTCTCCAACTGAATGACACAATTTTCTTCGAAGCACAATGAAAAGAGGAAGGACCACAACAGTACAAGGCAGTTCAGAGACAGAAAGAGAGAGAGAGAGAGACAGAAGAGGGGAGATGTGCTCAAAGAGAAAGGAGAACATGATTTGGAGCACATGATTGGATCCAAGGGGCTAATGCACAGCCCAAGCTTCAATCTCATTCACTGATTGGAATTGCAGTATTTCCAAATTCCATCTTAACTTCAGCAGCACCTATTCCCTAATTTTATATTTGCCCTCTCAAGGTGCACTGCCATGAAATCTGGGCATTCTGTAGCAGGCCATTCCCAATCTGACAAGGAATAATGTAGTGTATGAAAGAAAATAAAGATGAGAATTCTGAATTTAGGATTCCTAGATTAGGATAAAATCCTCTTGGAAAAAAAATCTTGCTCCATGACCTTATGGTTTTCTTATTCCTCCCCCCGCCCGCAAAAAAAAAATAAAAATCAAATACGTAATAAAATAATCCTAAAATCTAAACCTAAATATACATAAATAAATTGTAGTGTTCTCAAAAATTACTTCAAATGTTCATTAGTGTTATCAAATACGTATCAACTTCTTTTAGGGCTTCGTATTTCATTAGTCCACATGATTCCGAAGCTTATACAATACAAGAAAACAAAGTCAGTGATCTGCAAAGGAATTTGCCAACTGAATGAAAACCGAAAGACATCTCAGGTGCTTTAGAGCAGGGGTCTCCAACTTTGGCTACTTTAAGACTTGTGGACTTCAACTCAAGCTTTGCTGGCTAAGGAATTCTGGGAGTTGAAGTTCACAAGTCTTAAAGTTGCCAAGGTTGAAGACCTCTGTTTTAGAGGAATGTAGTGTGCAGCCTTATTCTTACACCTATGCGGATTAGGAAAATAGAAGTTGTATTTGCTTTTCCTTTATAGGCTTTTTAAAAAAAAGAATTAAAAAAAAAAACTAAGGAAAGAGTCACCGGCATCATAAAATACTGTCTATTTCCTGGAACTGCCAAATCCGTTACAGTCATATAAATCAATGTACAGTCATTATTGAAGTAAGCACAACTAAATAAAAACAAGTATTTCGGGAGACACTTGTAATACCCAAAGGGAACAAGTGATGTAGATTTCAGTGCCGGCTTCTTTTAGAAAGATTAATAAACTAGTCTTTTATGAAACACACACATGGCTTTTGTAAGATAAGACTGTTCCTATCCAGTGACGCGATTCCTTTGAATAACCTACGTCAAAATCGGATAAGAGAAGAACAAAAACTGGCCATATAAAACATGCCGGCTTGGCAGTCAAATTCTGCCTTTCAGATTCAAAAAGATAAATCTTCATCAGCATCTACCGCTGGGGAAACCATGCAAGAGTAGAGGTTCTGCAAGGGACAAGATTCATCAAAGGAGGACTCACTCAAGGCCTTACAAAAAGAAGAGCCTGCACATCCAACTCGTTTCCCATAACGTAGCGATCAAGAAACAGTCAAGAAAAGCACGCATACAGAGGCTTTCCTGCCCAAGTCTCCTTCGGATTCAATAGTGACAGAAAAAGTGATCTATGCGTAATGAAACCGGACTCGGGGGCCAAAAAGAGAAATATTCCCCAGCCTCCTGACAGGTTTTTTTTTGTGTGTGTTTTTTTCCCTACCCATATTTTGATAGGTACAACCTACCAGAACTCTTCCGCGTCCAAGCCCTTTAGAAAGAAAACGGAACCGCAAACACCGCGCAGGTTAAGAAGCTGCTGGAGTTCACGCTTTCAAAGTGACCAGTAACATCACGTCAAGAATGCCCTTCCAAAATCACAGAGTCCTAATTTTTATTTTGTATTTTTTATTTTCGGGTGTGTGGGAGAGAACGTACCGTGATTATCCTTTTACTCACTCAAAAGGGAAAGAGGGGTTGCACCATCTCAAAAAAAAAAAAACCAAAACAAAACAAAAAAAGACACCACACCTCTTGCCCATCCTGAAGTTACTTGGAAGTATCTTGCTTCGGAACTGCCCGGTAAGATTTATCTGATGTTTTTAACCCCATTAATTGTAAAACCAGAAAGGGGAAGGGGGAAAAAAAAAAAAAGGTAATAATCATAAAAAAGACACATAGAGAAATAGATACCAGGCTGGTGCTGCTACTCTTTTTCAGACACACTGATTGTATTAGAACCAGAAATCCTCAAAAAAGTCCATTAAAAATTAAATAAATAAATATTTTTGCTATGTTTCTTTTCTTTTTCTTGTTTTTCTACACGCAGAGAGAGCATACTTTCAAATTCAAGGTCCTTTTTTTTTCTTTTTTCTTTTGCAAACCCTTTCCCCTGACATCAGAAAAGGTCTCCTTCTTTTAACAAAAAACGGTAACCGAGATGCTTCTTCGAGAACCCGAAAGACACATCCCACGGGCAAAACGGATCTAAGCAGATGCGCAGGCCTCCTGGCTGCCTTCCCAGATCCAGCGATCCTAATTTGAGTCCCATAGAGGCAGCTCTAAAAAGATTGGGAGGAGGCTTCCCCTGGCACTGTATCTAGATTCACAAGGATTGGCCGCCCCGAACGGGAACAAATGTTGGGGGGGGGGGGTTGCGTTTTCCTGAAAAGGGGCCCCCCTTTCACTCCTTCGAGGTTTCGTCTGGATTCTGCTGCTCCAGTCGGCGCTTGATCTTGCCCCAGTACTCGGGGGCCACGGGAGCCTTGGGGTTGTGTTCAGAGCAGCAGAGGCGTCCATCCAAGGCCGAGGAGACCAACGCTCCCTTTTCATGATCTTTGCAGTAAGAGTGAGGGCAGAACTCGCAAAACGAAGCCGCCGGGTTGCCGCAGATGACACACTGGTGCCACGGGCATTCCCACTTCCCTGGGAAGAAAACGAGAGAGATCAAATAGGCATCAGCTCAGAAAAAAAAACATCCTGCCCAATTCACGGGCCAGACTAGAACTACTTTACGTCATGCCCTTGTTGGGGTCTGATTCTGAGGGGGAGATTGAGCAGCTGACAGGGAGTGGGAGTGTGGCTCCGGCGACTGTGGAAGAAACGGGGAAAGGACACAGTCCGGGTGTGCCTTCAGAGGAAGACCCAGGGCCAACACCCTCTTTATTCTAGGGCATGCAGGGAAGGAACGGAGAAGGGAGCAACGTGGCTTACGGGAGAGAAAGGGGCCCTGATCCCTTTCATTAGTTGCAGCTGGGAGAACAGGATATAAGTGGGGCGTTTTCACACAGCTCTTTGCTGGAAGCAAAGCGTGCATTATCTTGGTCGAGGCTTATCTGGGTTTTAGCATCCTCCCAACTGTGGGTGCTGCATTATCTTTTGAAGCTCTGCAATTTATCATCCTGCCCTGCCGTGCTAATGACTTCAGCGTGGTTTGTGTTGGTTTTTTTTTATTTCTAATTATCTTTACTTTGGGTTCGGACTGCATTTCTGCCCTTCGTAGACTGTTTTTTTGAAGAATTTGATATCCAGCCAAGGATAATTGGGCATTGGGGACAAGTTGGAGGCATTAAAGGGAATTTATTTTACTTTCGTGACTTTGTTATTTTTGTGTCACGTCCCAGGTCATCACACTTTATATCACGGTTTAGCTTTGTGCTTGTGAATATACCGTGTTTCCCTGAAAATAAGACCCGGTCTTATATATTTTTTTGCCACCAAAAGAGGCAACAGGTCTTATTTTCGGGGGATGACTTGCACTGACTTACCTCATGGTGGCAGCACCAACAGCCCTGCCCAGCAGGAGCCCATTGCTGGCCCACTTTTTTTGCCGTCGCTTGCCGCCACTTATGTGCATCCTCCCCCTGGCCTCTTTTGCTGTCAGAGGCCTTCAGGAAAGGCCTCTGCAGCCAATAACAAGAGCTCCAGGTCATTCTTTCTAGAAGGCCTCTGAGGGCGAAATGGAAGCCAGGGGCACCGCATGTGTCAGTCTGGAGCTCTTGTATTGGCTGCAGAGGCCTTTATGGAAGGCCTCTGAGGGCGAAATGGAGTCTGGGGGCGACACGTGCAAATGGCGGCAAGCAGCTGCGGAAGAAGTAGGCCAGCAAGGTGAGGCAGGTGCCAGGGTGTGCAAGGCCTGGCTGCAACTCTCCCAAGGTAAGGAGGTCCATCACGCCCCCATCCTCAACCTCACTTGATTTTTACCCGTATGCCTCGCCTCACGCTGCACAACAGGTGTAACGGAGTGGGCGGGGTCTTAAATAGGACTTATTTAGGGCTTATATTGGGTGCATGTGTAAAAATCAAGCTAGGGCTTATTTTCGGGCTAGGCCTTATTTTTGATGAACACACAGTAGCTAGTCCTCAATTTGCAACCATTTATTTGGTGACCATTCGAAATTACAATGGCACTGAAAAAGTCGACTTAAGGACTGGTTCGTTCTTGGATTTAGGACTTGCAGCATTCCCCATGGTCAGGTAAACAAAATCTGGGTGCTTTGCAATCAGCATGTATACAGGTGGTCCTCAACTTATGACCACCATTGAGCCCAAAATTTCTGTGGCTAGGTGAAGCGTTTGTTCAGTGAATTTTGCTCTATTTTACAACTTTTCTTGCCATCGTTGTTAAATGAACCACCGTAGTTGTTAAGTTAGTAACATGGCTGTTAAATGAATCTGACTTTGCTTGGCAGGAGGTCGTAAAAGGGGTTCACATGACGTCTGGACACTGCGTCCGTCATAAGTAGGAGTCAGTTGCCAAGTATCTGAATTTTGATCATGTGCCACAAAGGTTGTAAAACGGTCATTAAGTCACCTTTTTCAATGCCGTTGAAACTTTGAATGGTCAAGAAATGAAGCTTCTGGGATGAGAAGCAAAACGTCTTCAAAGAAAAACCAAGAAAGTCCAGTTGCCTCTTGAAAAAAAAAAAGGCACCTTTGGGACAACTGTGACCTGGAGGACTGAGAACCTCCCTAGATATTCTGAGAGATCTACTGCAACCTCAGCTTGACAAAGATTCATTTATAGGGATTAGTAGGGCAAACATGTTATGTTCTCAGGTGTGCTCCTAAAACAAATCTACCAACCAAACATAATTCAAGGTAAACAGAAAGCAAGACAAAGTCCAGTAGCACAGCTGCTCTCCTCTGACTCTCCCAACCTTGACAGGGGAGAACTATCCTGGCCTTGGACTTTCAAGCCAAAAAGCACTGGCAGAGCCACATCCTATGGAAAGGTCGGCTTAAAAGGGTCATTTCAGGATTTGATGAAGGATTCATGGGGGGAAAAAAAGTAAAAACTGAGGGGAAGTGAGAAAACGCCAAACATCCCAAATTCCTTCGTGATTGCAGAATGCTGACAAGCAGACTGGACTGTGGAAACTCAGCGCAAGTATCTTGGAAGCGGACAAGAGTCCCTGCCGCTCCATTGTGTGACTGGTATGTTGGCTTCCTAGAGATATCAAGGTCTTCCCTAGTTCACTTCTTCACAACTACACTACTGAAAGAGAGTATCAACAGCAATAGCACTTGGACTTATATACCGCTTCACGGTGCTTCACAGTCATCTCTCTAAGCGGTTTACAGAGTCAGCCTCTTGCCCCAAACAATCTGGCTCCTCATTTTACCCACCTCGGAAGGATGGGAGGCTGAGTCAACCTTGAGCTCTTCAGGATTGAACTTCCTGGCTGTGGGCAGAGTTAGTCTGCAATACAGCACTTTAACCACTGCACCAACACAGCTTGATTGCCTTCCTTCTTTCCTTTCCTTTCCTTTCCTTTCCTTTCCTTCTTTCCTTTCCTTTCCTTCCTTCCTTCCTTCCTTCCCTTCGCAATACACTTGGGACTTATATACTGCTTCATAATGCTTTCCAGCCCTCTCTAAGCGGTTTACAGTCAGCCTCTTGTCCTCAATAATTTGTGTCCTTGTTTTACCAACCTCAGATGGATGGAAGACTGAGTCAGCCTTGAGCCTGGTGAGAATCAAACTTCTGGCAAGCAGCAGAGCTAGCCTGCAATACTGCCTTCTAACCACTGTGCCATCACAGCCCCTAGCTTAAACAGCCAGATGGTTTTGTATACATACTTTTATGTCATTTCTCACTCACCCCCAAAATAGGCCCCCAAAATAGACACCTACCAAAGGGCGGCTGGGTCAGGTTAAGGCAGAGGAGGTGGTATGCTTTGGGACAGTCTTTTTTGTCACACATGACGAGTTCACCTCCGTCTCCACACTGAAAGCAATTGTCTTCGTGCATCTGCTTCTGCTCTGTCTTTATCTTCCGTTTCTTCTGCTTCAGTTTTGCGTTCTTCGCCTTCTCTTCATTCGCTGTTGCGCAGGCCGTCTGATCGGGGAGAGGGGAAAACCAAGAAGAATATTAATAAAAGAAGAAAGGAGCACTGGCTGTCTTAAATCAGCCCTGCAAAGGTAGACCAGGTTAAGAAACCAACGCCACATAGGATGCGGCTACTTTCGTTGTGTCCTCTACACAGGGCTGCGGGGAATGATGTAGCTCCTTTAATGACCTGTAGACTTCAACTCCCAGGATTCTTGTGGCTCAGGAATTCTGGGAGATGAAGTCCATAGATCATAAAGGAGCTACATAGTTCCCCCAGCCTGGAACTATAGTAACACAGTCTTGCAAGTCTGAATGTGCTTCCTCTTTCTGGGATGACCCAGGGCGTGGCACAAAGGCAACACAGTCAAATAAGCAAGAAACTGAGTCCTTTTATTATCTCCAACTTTGCCCCCAATGTCCAAGTTACCTTTGGCTGGAGAAAACTCTCCCAGGAACAGTGTTTAACAGTCCAAAACAAGGTACATACAGACTGTAACTAAAAATCCAGAAACTAAGCTGAAGTAATTAACTTGACAGGGCAGGAGAAGGAATTTCAGGCTTGAAACCACGGCTAAACTCACATAGTTGGGAAGATGCCAGGGACACAGATAAGCCACGACGATACCTGATAAATTCACGATTTGCTCCCAACAACTTGCTGTGCGCAGCTTCCTCTTTTATACACTTGTGTTCATTAGCTGGGCTAATGAAGGGAATCAGGGCCCTTTTCTCCCCCATAAGCCACAGAACTCACTTTGATCCCTTTTCCGTTCCTCCCTGCGTTCCCTAGGATGAAGAGGGCCTGGGCCTGGGTCTTCCTCTGAATTCCCTCTGCCTTGCTCTACCCCTCCTCTGCTCTGCCCAGCTGGACTTTGCCCTTCCCCAATTTCTTCCACAGCCAACGGAGCCACACTCGCACTCCCTGTCAGCTAGAATCCGACAGGGGCACGACACTTTCTTTCACTTTATCTCCATTTGAATTAGGCAGGGGCCTGCCTGAGATGTCTTCTTAAATTTATTTCTTGAAATGGACTCAAGCCCCTGGACCCTGCCTTGTTCTAATCCTTGACATCTGAACCCTGACACCTGACAGCAAAAGCTTCCACCCAAGAAAATATGGAGTTCAGGTGCAACACCTAACAGTTGCCATCAGTCCTAAATGAAGCGGTGGATACTATACAGGTAGTCCTTGTCTTACGACCTCAATTCAGCCCCAAATTTCTGTTGCTAAGCAGGAAGATGGTTAAAAGCCATAGCACTTAGACTTACATACCGCTCTCCAGCCCCTCTCTAAGCAGTTTACAGAGTCAGCCTCTTGCCCCCAACAAGAGGTGAGATTTGAACTGCCAAATTGCAGTCAGCAGAAGGAGCCTGCAGTACTGCGCTCTGACCACTGCGCCACCATGGTTCCCCTTTCATGCCCCAGTTGTTAAGTGGATCTCTGCCGTTGTTAAGCGACTCTGGCTTCTCCATTGCCTTCACTCACCAGAGGGTCGCCAAAGATAAATCACGTGACCCCCAGGGACACTGCAACTGTCATAAATATGAGTCAGTTGCCAGGGGGCTGAATTTTGCTCACGTGACGGTCGTAAGCGTGAAAAGGTGCCTTACAGTGCCGTTCTAACTTCGAATGGTCACTAAGCAAACTGCCATAAGTCGAGGACTTCCTGTAATGAATGTGATCGGGAGGGAAGTCCTTGTTTGGACCTTGTTCTGAGCACAAGCAGACAGAGAACGTGTGTGAGACATATTCCCTCTGTCTGTGTGTTGTTGTTGTTTTTTGTCCTATTCCCCCACTTGTGTGACTAACCTTTGGCCGCACACCTAGGAATCCACTGCAGTTTTCTGCTCCACAGTGGCACTCGGTTCTGCCGTTGCCCAGACAATCCAAATTATAGTTAAATGTTAACTCCATCCCTGTAAATTCAAGATAATGAGTTTAATACTTGGCAAAGCATGAAACCTTAATCTAGCGGACAAAATATTGAAAATGTGACTGTTATCTTCGTCGTCAGTGAAAAAAATCTTGTTCCTATCAAAAGGACATGGTAGCTTGCAGAATGAATAAGGAATTTATTTCTCCTGTTTAAGCATCTCTTTCTCTGGTTTTCCCACACATCCCCTCCACTGTCACTGGCTATCTGAGACATCCCTAACGATCAAAAGATCAGCATCATTTGGTTATCTAGGATGTTTCCGGCAACCTGAAAATGCAGTACTTTACTTGCCTCTAAAATTATGTTTTGCCTGTGTTGACAATACTAAGAATAGAATAGAATAGAATAGAATAGAATAGAATAGAATAGAATAG